TTTGGGGAGCAGATATGAATGGGGAGCGAGGGCGAAGCGAGAGAGAGTGTGAGAGCAGAAGGCCGTGGCCTGGAGTCTTCCGAGTGCCTGCCTTGGTGTGGGCCATGCTACACAAAGATTGCTGGGAGGGTGGCATGGCTTAGAGTTTCGTGCGACATAGCATTGCGGTTGCACTAATGGTCGAGGTCCAAACGCTCAAATGGGCGTCGATGGTTGGTGTGCATAACGTAAACATACCGTTCGTCAAAAATGTTACTTTAGTCGAAACCATGGGGTCCTATGGGAGGCGAAATGTTAACCAAAAAACTGTTAACCAATGTCACTGTTAACCGAGATACTACTGTGACCACATAGAGATCAAATGATGCTAGAGTGCCCGGTTTGGCCGAGAGGTGGTAACTTGACCGAATTGTTGCATCACCATTGGTCACCAGACACGTTAATATCTGCATAACGTGTAGCATGCGTATCTTTTTAAAACTGCATTTTCAAGCCTACTGAGGTAGCGTTATTTTGTGTGTATTTGTTGCAAACCTATGCTTGTTAATGTTTAATGAAGGTTATAAACGCCTCTTACAGTTTTATTGTACAATTGAAACAACATTTTTTAATAATGCGGTGTAGGTGGCTTTTGATATATTGCTTTGATCAGGATGGAAAAACAAACAATTATTGTGGAATAATTTTGCCTTTGTACTTAATATAAAAATGATAGCTTTCAGCAGGCATTTAGTATGTTAATGAATTGTATGGGTAAATATACATTTAGGCATTTGCTCATTGGTAAGCATTCATTATTGATAATAAGTAGCAGTTTGATTAGACGTATCAGTTTAACTGTGGACTTGAGTCACAAAGCAATCCGGGTAAACCTTGACCCGGGAAGATCATATATAATAATTTCTGATTTGAGCTCATTTGTCAGTCCTCGTACATCATAAAACATCAAGATGAGAAAATGGTTAGCGTACACTTTATTTACACAGCGGCGTGTTGTCACATGTTACAACGTCCTTAGCTGTCTGAAGTGCCTTTTCACAGTTCTTGAGTCTGTTTCTTTTCTAGTGAATATAATTTTTGTCACTTAATACCAATGTGAGTCAGGAAATTTGGCATGCACATTGGAATGTCCTTGCACATTCATTTTAAACAAAGATTCATGTGGCAGAGTTTACAGGGATATTTTTGTAACACCTAGGCTTTCGCAAGCAATGTGATAATAGATTTTTGGGTCAGGTCGCATCAGTGTGTGTGTCGTAAACCCGCCGCCACCTGACACGACAATTTTATAAAGTGGTTACGTGAATATACATGCCAATGTATTCCTGCTTCAGCACACACGTGTATTAGAGAGCAATCCACAACATTTAACAATTTGGGAAGATATTTTCCTGGTAGTTACAACCAGCATCTTCAGGCAATTTGCCAGAATTTAGGATCGTTTCCTCCAGTCGTAGGCTATAAATGTGTCGTGATGTCATCAATGTGCACCCACGGAAGCAGGAAGTGTGTAAAGTTTAATGTATTTTTTACGAAGTTAATGTTTAGATATAAATGTGTAATATGTATGTTGAAATCGTTCAGTCATTAATTGCACTCAGTGGTTAATAACGTTATAATAATGCTGTGTTAGTTTCAACTAATTAACTGCGATTTCGGAAATTCGATTTTGTTCACCAAAAAGTGTCCATAATTTGTCAATTGGGTTTACATGAAATGTCGTCAACCAGACGTTTGTAAATTGACCGATAACCTTCTAATCTTGAGTATTTGATGTTCCTCGGGTATTCTGTAGTTTTCTCTGTGGTGTTCCTGTTCAGAGGAACTATACTGACTTAAACACAATTTCCAGCAGTTGTTGAACATGCCTAGCAACAAGGACATTTGATTGATTTTGAGAACATTGATGTGTTACAAATAACACACGTGACCAAAATCTTACCTTAATATCTAGAGGGCCACAGAGCTCGGGCTGTTTCTTTGAGAGCAAGCAAATGCTGTGCACATTGCAATTGTATATTTTTTGTTAAATGTTCCGAAGAAGGAACAATATTTGATTAAATCAAGGGCGTCAAAACCAACAAGATTTTACTGTTTTCCAAAGATTCAGAAATGTCCAATTTAGACGACTATTCAGTACAGTCGGTTCTGTGACATATAAATTGTACAGTCCATAAGAAGACCAATACAGTCCCATATTGGCAGCTTCCCCTGGTTTATTTAAAACCGAACACTTGTGAATCTAAAGGTATTCCAGTTAACCCGAATGATATTCTGGTAAGTTTTGGTGTCCGTTCTCTGTTCACCAAGGTTCCATTAATGAGTTAATTAAGATACTTGATACTCTGCAGCAAACGCACTCCAAGTATACTAATACGTTGTCTTTGGTTTAGATATGTTGATGACATACTTGTTGTCTGGCCACATGCTAAAATGCACTGAATGAATTCCTAAATCACCGCGATGAGGGATTATGACACGCATGCTACATTCTAATTTAAAAACTCAATTCTTTAGAACTGCTTTTGTGTTTGTCCTCCCCCCACACTTCCGATGAGCACGATTGGCTACGTATGCTGCCAAAGAAGTTTAACATGTATACATTTTACTCTGTTTTTTTCGGTAAAGTCACGTAGAAATCATAAAAAATAAAATTATTATTATTTCTACGTGACTTTACCGAAAAAACCAAAGAGCAATTCCTGCAGTCACGAAAGCACCTAATCAAATGTATACATTTTACTTGCGTGAGCTTTATGGGGATTGAGAAAAAAATACCCGGCATGGCTAACATGAGTAAAATGCAATGTTGAAATCACATTTATATGTATAAAGTGTGTGTCAGGAAGCAGTTGCTCAAGCAAAATACTCTCAACAGTATTTTTTGTTCCAGTCTGGTTTTGTAGACTTCACGAAAATCCCTAAACAGTTTAAAACTTTCGACTGCCACCTTTCTGGTCTCTTTGGAATTGCAGTTTATTCACATGATAACGACTTGAGGGCTTTTTTTCATGAGCAACCATAAGGATCGACAATGTGTCAGCATCAAAGTATTTCCTCACTTAGACTGATGTTTGGCGATGCAGATCTCCCTCGACAGTGGTACAAATTTTACATTTCAATGGCAGGGGCCAATTGTGCGATATGACTATTACTTGGGTATAACGATGCATTGATTGATATTGATTACGCTCACGATACATGCAATTGAATGGCATGTGGAAGAATCAAAATCATTTTCAGTATGTGAATGTTGCATGTAATGGGTTCTCGTGACCCCTGCAGCAATATTGCCTCCAAGGTTCAAAGAGGGTCAATTACTGAATCAAATTGTGACTGAATCAGGACAATGTATTGAATTACTGGGCTGGGGTCGTGGGGGCGGTTGTGTTTATTTCTTTATTTAAGACCATCCAAGAACCTGTTGATATCAGATGTCTCTTGAACTGAGACCTGGGTTTCACCAAGTAACAGTTCTTGGCTGGGTGGAGCTGTGTTTAGAAGTTATTAAGTTCAAGCCCAGTTTGATGTCCCCTCAACTCCTCATGCCATTGGGTCGATGCGCTGAAAACCAATCTGCGACAGCCAAAGTGGTCATGGAATATTAGATGTAAAATTCATTATATTTAAGGGAAGGTATAACATGACACAAAACAAATGGATGCAATTTTATTTTATACAAAATCAACATTTATTCACAACAGTGCAGCAGTTGAAATATGTTGTATATAATACTGTTGGTTGCCCCAAACTTTGTATAATCGCTTCATGGACCAAGTACATCATTGGCTTAACATGACTCCCACAATGCATTACACATAATACAGAAAGACCTGTAGTGCTGGGTCCCAAAATGCAGCACGTGTAATGATATATATGGCACTACTAAATGTTACTTCAAAGTTGTTTCCTCGTTCAGAATTAAAACGCATTTAGTTTTTGAACATTACATAAATTAGCATCTATAAAATAACTACTGTTACTTTTTGTATTCCATTTAATTAAGTTGACAGTAATGCAAATCGGTTGAAAAGCATTCACACGTAGTTTAGGTTGTTTTATTTAATAGAAATTCCCAATTGATTCCAGATGTGCTATTGTCATCATCTCATGAGGCAGAGAATCCATTTCGAAAACTCACAGCCCAATGTGTCAGAGGATGGCTGAAGGAGATTTTTCTAGGAACTTCTTGACACAGTAGGGGGAGCACTTCCCTACAAAATCTGCTATGAGATTGTTGCACAACAGCCAAACTTATATTTGATTAATTCTCAGAGCTGGAACAGTAAAATCAAGTGTAAACCACATTTATTCGTGGAATTTTTTTTGTCATTGGTGACTGTGCTGGGACATTTAACAATCAATGCTTGGGAACCCAGTTTAATCCCAAGTGGCTGAAACCTGAATTGGAACCCAGGATCTCAGCGGTGCTTGCTCTCATCTCTGAGCCGTCTGGCTACATCTCGAGTTATATTATTTACTGAATTAAACAGAAGTTAAAAAAATGCAGTCAAAATAAACTGGCCAAACATCCGTATCGAGCACTCACGTGAAAAAAAGAGGCTTGGATAAATAAAGGACTTTATTGTTGTAACCTATGTTATTACTGCGTCAGCAAGGTGTATATACAATGTGTATTATGAATGGTGGGGTTTACTCTCTGGCAAACACTGATCAATCTTGTGGCCGAGAACACTTCTAGAAAAGCATCCTTGCTTGTCTGGATTATCGGAGACACATGCTGTTGGCCCTTGTAAGGGTTCCACGACCTTACCATACAAAGCCACAGACTGCTATTAATGCCATAGTTTTAATGACTTTCCTGGAAGCCTGTTAGCCAAAACATTTAGCAATAATTGTCTGCAAGAAAACTGTACAGTGTATATATATACAATATTATACTTGTAACATATTTTTTCATGGCACAATAGAATCCAAGGAACAATGGGAAAAGTAAACGTGCCGTTAAAACACCTTTGGGGGAATTTTTGTTTTCACAGGAAATACCCTCCGATAACCTCGGACTCGCAAAGGCAGGAGTACAAGCGGGACTTTGAGACAGTGATGCAAAGCTACAAGCGCCTGCAGACTGAGCAAGATGATCTCCATCGACAGCTGACGGAGCTTGACAAGCAGCTGGACACCCTGGACTCCGAGACCAGCGAGTACCGGGTACCAATTCCACTGCTAACTTCATTTTTCTCATTGTCATTTTCCCACAACTTGGCCCGATCGTGCTGTCGGCATAATGTCATGAGACAAAATGTGCATTCAAATATCTCGCATAGTGAAGACAATTGCCCACAGAAGTGATTATCACAGAGCTACCTCTGACTGTCAAACCAATATTTAGTTCTCAGAACAGGAATTTAACCATATTTAGTTAAACAACCTAATTTAAATGGAATGGATTTTGTGCAGTCATTGGTGACCAGGCTGAGATCATAAACTCACTATACTTGAGAACCCAGTTTAACTAACATTTGTCCAGATTCAAACTCAAGATTTCAGTGGTGCCAGCTCACCAATCAGACATCTGGCCATTTCTTGGTGGCTGAGAGGATGTCTGATTGTCAGTAAACGGGGCATGCCGTGTCCACTGGAAAGCACCGCTGACATGCTTGGTTAAATGTACAGGCTCATGCCCACATCAACAGCCAAGTCACCACGAAAAAACAACCTCAATTCCCCTGATCTCGTCAAATCTTTCAAGTTAATTTTGGGGTGGTGTTTGGCCAATACTTTGATGGGAAAACTGCCTGCGAGTGTCTGGTGATCTCGGCTTGTTGTGCTGAGAGGTGGTTTGAAGATAGCAGTACAGCTTTGAGTGTTGTCACCTCGTATGTGTTGGTTTTCTGAGTATTCCATTTTTCTCTGATGTGCCATTCGTTAATGAAATTGTCCCAAAATACCAATGGAAAGGCCTCCTGAAAAGTAATCCTCAGGTCAGGAAAGGTTTCTTGGTAAATATGGCAATATTATCAATATAATTATATTCTCAGATAGAGTACGCTTTTGGGTTAATCTCAGTCATCTAATGACTGCACATAAAAAAGAACCGACATTTTGGTTTGCATTTTATTCTGTAGTGCTCCATTTCAAAGGCGTATTTGACAAATTAAGGACAGAACGAATTATTTGGTGATACTACATTGGCAGTGGTGCACAAGCACAAATAACCAATAAAATAAACACATACATCAATTATACTGCTTTAAATGGGAAAAGTACATTAAAAATATAGTAGGCAACGTTTTGGGCGATTGTATGTATGGTTTAGGCATATGATCCATGTGTTATTGAGAAGAGCCATTGCCAAAAACATCACCTTTATAAATGGTGTTATCTTTTACGGTAGGGTTTATATGCATAGAATAGCGTATTACACCTATGACGATGGAGCAGTCTCATAGTTTTGTAAACTATACTATTGAAGGGTAATGGGCGAAGACCTGTGCTGTCGCTTCTGGGTCCTTCCATTGTATGATATGTGACAGTTCCTACTAGGGGGGTAGGTTATAACAGAATTATGCTTAGCATGCACATGCTGGTAGAAGATTGATAATACAATCGGTGATGCATGCTAAAACATACAATTTGCTTCGCTTAGACGGAACATTTTAATCGCGTACAGGTGTATATATCTTAAAACTTTCTTTTTTAATATATTGTAGTTGCCAATTGACAAATGAATTGGGAAATATATAGATGTTGTTATAAACATTAGCAATTTATCCTTTAATCCTTCTGTTTTAAATCTTTAAATATGTCCATCAATGCATATTCCCTGCTATGTCATACGGGTCAGAAACCCCGAGACTGACACAGAAAACAGAACAAAGGCTAAAAAGTACACAAAAATCATGGAGAGGTGCACATTCAGAATTACACTGAGAGACAGAAAGAGAAACGCTAGGATCGGAGAACAAATGTATATCAGAAATATCGAATTGACCTGTAAGAAATATTAAAACACGGGTAAAAATAATAACACAAAGGGGACAATGTAAAGTCACACGAGTTATTAACAGCATATAACATTTAAGAATTTAATTCCAAAGTATTAGATTGAGTCATTCACATGTCACATAGATATGCATCGTTAGTTTTTTTTCCTGATTTTTTTTTTTTACCACCATTAGAATGCAGTCACTTACAGGCAGCAATGTGTGTGTGTGTTATGCCACAGGATGCAGCCGAACAGTTTAACAGACTGAAAGACATCAAACAAGTAAGTAAAGTCACTCGGACTTTAACGCACGGCACGTTTGTAGATATGTCTCACACACTTTGAAATATATGTGTAGCTTGGAAGGCTATTTATTGATGAATTTCCCATCAGGCACTTATGTCTATAAAACTGTTGATATATACGGACTGTCTTTTTTCAGACACAGGGCTACAAGGACAAGAAGCAGCACTGCAAAGAGCTCAAGCGCACCGTCACTCACATCAAGCAGATGGTTTCCGACTATGATCGCGCCAAGTAAGAAGCCATTTTTTTAGGGAGCCTTTGACAGAGCATGGTATGTCATTTTGGCTTTTTATTCTTGGTGGGTTTTTTAAGCTTAAGTAGTTGAATAAGTCGTTCACTCCTCAAAACCTTTTTTTGATAAGTGCCGAGGTAAGATCATTTGGCCCATTGGTCATTGAATTATTTTGGTCCATGTCTTTTTTAATAGAAAATAAACTGCTACTCTTTTATTTTGATGTCATAAAAAATATTTTGTCCTTAAATGTGTTATTAGCTGCAATACTGATTATTTTGTGACGTTGCGTTCTACTGATTGTGCATTAAACTGGTGGGCTCATATGGAAATGCTTAATGTGCGAGGAGAAATATAATGCTCTAAACGTCTTAAGCGACAGCAGCGTACACTTAGGCTCATATTCTTAGTCACAGCTCAGCACAGGCTCTGGCTCCAGCGAGCCGGCTCAAAGCCATGCTGAACTTGAGCCCGGCTCTGAGCATGGTTCCCAACCATCCCCAGGGTGTCCACGAGCTGAGCTTAAGCCATGGCTGAGTCAGTCATCCATCTTTGAAAGAAATTGACCAACTGAAGCCTGAGCTGAGTCATTTTTTAGGCTAGGCCAGAGCGGAGCTGTGACTAAGAATATGGCCCCTAAGAGTAGAGCTACACACTTTTGCCTATTTCCCACATTTAGTCAGTTCACTGATGGATGAAGGACTCCACACCACGTGCCGGCAATGAAGGGTCTTGTTTGACGATTCTTCACCGGGCTGGTCTGTGTGGGTTGGTGGGAGGGGCCAGGGGGAGTGTGAGGGTGGAGGACCAGTTAAGATTACACTCGCCACTGGTGTTAGCTGTGACCAAGGAATCCATGCCAGGTCACTGGGTTCAGTGCAGTGTGACAACCAATGTGCCACTGCTCAACCCCATTTGTATATCCCTAAAACGTGAATATGTTGCAGATTTGACATTGTGTGCACGCCTGCATTCTTAATTGCACACGACGTATATGTACACACTGGTTTAGAGACACCTCTCTGGGCTATATTATCACGTGGTGGTTTTAACATCGAACAATTCCTGAAAGAGCAATCAACTGACAAATAGTTGGAATTTGCTTTATCAGAATGTGTTAATCTGCAATGGATCCTTTGCCATTAATTCAGGTAATGGTCTACTGTAATTATGTATTGTGGGAAGAGTGAATCGAATAGAAGATGTACAATTTAAGATAATTACTGCATATTAACTTTAATAGTCTTAATTGAGATTCATATACTTTTGTTAGTATGTGTACCTTCATGCATGAATTTAATTAATTACACTTTGACCTTACTCTGACGGGCCTTGATTTGCTGTGATCTCTGTGTAAAGGACTTTGTGGTCTCTATATAACATTGGAATGCAATGCCTTTTGAAAGCAGAATTAATAAAAGTACTCTAAAAGGTAAAAAAAAAAGAATTCTACAATATAACTTGAGATGCGGTGAAATTTGTTATCGCACTGGCCTTGCAATCCAGAGGTCACCAGGGCATCCTCCTGGCACGGCAGTTGAAACAATGGGCCAATATGATAAGTCCCCACCTGCCTCTGTCCACCCAGCAGTATAAATGGGTACCACCACAGTTAAGTCGATCGGTCGGTCGCATGTGCTGGGCAAGAATCGGCCAAATACTCTCCAGAAGGGATTTCTGGAGCCTCCCTCTAGTGGGAGGCCCTGTCATCAGTAGTAGTGCAAGCAAGCAGTTGCAGGGCTGCACCTTTATCTTTTACAACATGACTTGTCATGCAACAATAAATTGTATTTGGACGTAAGGTGATCGTACAAATTGGTTATAACTGGAGATTGCTTGGGCAGTTTTGCCTGTTTAGATCAAGGTTCAAGCCTAATTTATAGAGGGGATATTGAACTAAGCTTGGTTAAGGATAATGTTTTAAAGCATGACACCTAGCAATTCAACACTGTAAAGATGTGTGTAACTGGACATCTGTGAAAAGAGCTTCATAGCTCATCGGATTTCTCCAGGATAAGTAAAGATTCTGTAATATTTTTTGACTGATTATAAAGAAATGTTCACCCTCAGTAGACCAATGAATGTGATCGTTTGAAAGAAAAAATAATGTACAACACATTTGGTAACAGCACATGTATGTAAAATATGTTTTTTTTAAGCTCGTGGTATTAAAACGTTTGTGTGTGTGTTTGGTATGTGTATATCAATTACTTGCTTTGACATATAACAAAAATGTTTATGGTCATTTTAAGTTGGGTAAGTTTCGATACCGCTTGATCGTGTCTGGTGGTGGGAATTTATTTGTAAGTTCATTTTAAACATAATATTCACATTCTAGACTTAACATTTGTATTTTTTCTCATAGAATGTAAACTTTGTTGATACACTCAGACAAAAAAATAAACTCTTTTTGTTAAATACCATGAATGTGATGTAATGTTTGTTTCATTCTGTATATTTGCCTTGCATCGCTAAAAGCCAAAAATAAGGCCGGTTGTAAAACACAAATGTAAAAATGTATTTCTGTGTTGTGATGTACAAGCTCAAAACGTCATAGATTAAGCCGTCCATATATTATGCCCAATGACATTCCAATTATTATTTATAATAAGTTACTGTTGGGTTGGATTGTGTAGGTATAATGCCAATATTCAGCTCTACCCCTCTGCCACCCAACAGAGCCAATGAAATAAAGTTGCCACGTGCACAAATGTGCTAACTGAATTGGTTTCTCAGTGCACTGGAATGTTGAAAAGCAAACAAGATTTGGCAATTTTAAAGCCTATGTGAATATAATTTACTTTCCATTTGTGCTATGGGTGACATACCCAGAGATGAATGAAGTTCCATCCAGAACTCGAAACCTAACGGTGCATCACCCAGTGTCATAGAACAGCCCCAGAATCTGATATCACAACTGTAGTCACCTCTGTAGACATCTTTACACTATGGAGGGCCACCTTACAATGCCTTTTTTAAAAACATGTTTGCTCGATAAATTTTGATTTAAAGTTTTCGTGACTGCAGGGATTCATATGCTTGGTTCTTTCGGTAAAGTCACGTAGACGGGACAATCAAATAATAAAAATATAAAACAATAAAATGATATTTTATATTTTAATTATTTTATTGTTTCCCTTCTACGTGACTTTACCGAAAGAACCAAGAATATGCTTGCTCTATGTTCATGAAACCAGATCTGGAAGAAGCCAATTTCCTTGAAAAGCCAAATGATTGTTTTATTGCACGTGGTGTGGTTATGGGTGGTTGCCCGGAATCGAACCCAGTGTTCAACATCCATGAACTAGCATATTCACACTGCAGTATTCTAACCATGTAGAACAATGTCAGCGGCTTGTTTTCCTGACTTGGCTTCATTGCACATGTTTCCCCTGCTTTGTGTGGGAGATACTGTCCAAGAAAAGTGCTCACAAAGCAAAACTGCGCATAAAATGTAGTCCCATGTCCAACCGCATGTGTGTGGATTCAAACTGCGTATAGCAAAGTTTGGGTAGAAATCGGTTAGCCGCATATACGCGGAATCGCACAAACTGCACCCAATCTAAAGCGAGGGAAACCTGTATAAAAAAAATAGCAAATGCAAATTAAGTTTACATAAACAATTATTTAAGATTGCCATATATTAAGCTTACATCTATATATTAAGCATTCATTTTGTTGTAACATTTTGTTGTTTAGATGTATGCTTAATATGTATAGTGAAAACAGCAGTACATATACATTGGGTGCTATTGATGTTTAATAATGAGCTGGTCAACTTGTGTTCTCATTTAACTCCTTATTGGCTTTCCTTCATATTAAACTACAGGTGGAGTATTTTGAACATGTACATTAAATATCCTTTTGGTAAATTGAATAGGATGTCTGACATGGACAAATAGTAAATCAATGTCTAATGTAATTGATCATGCTTTTCAAAGGCTTTGTAATATACAAAGTGTGTAGAAATTGGTCAGTTGTAAATATCTATATATGAGGATATTTAAAAAATGCTCGCAGATTGTAAGTACAGAGCAATCCATTTGCTTGCGTATATGCCCTATGCATGATTTATGATCAAAAGGCTTGGTAAATAAAGATGTTAAAATGTACAAACAGACAGTCGATTTAAAGCTTTCGTGACTGCAGGGATTCATATTCTTGGTTCTTTCGGTAAAGTCACGTAGAAGGGAGACAATAAAATAATAAAAATTAAAATATTGTATTGTTTCCCTTCTACGTGACTTTACCAAAAGAACCAAGAATATAGACATAGTCGAGTCAGCGGTTTGCTGCTCAAATGAGCATTTAAGTGGTGGTCATCCCTTGACGATTCTGAGCCAGTGATGGAAATTCCTTAATCCTATGCCAGGGCGAGTCTAGTATATAGTACAACCACTGTTACCTTCCCTACAAAGTGGTAGTATTTTGCCGAGCCTGGAGGGATGATGGGCTGAATCAACCCCCAAACCGGGGTTTGGACTTGGAGCCTCGCCACTCACTATCCCGCGGAACCACCTTGCCGGTTATTATTAGAGTACTTTAGTAGCCCAGGCATCTTTACAGTTCTTAATTGAAAGCATACAAATATGTAGCTTGAGAAGAAACATAGTTTGGAGTTCATGTTTGTAAAGACACTTGTACTGTACTTCAGTGTAGGGATAAGAAGAATAACTTCTATCCCCCGAGAGCCTCACTGAGTCTCAAGACTTAGGAGGGGGTCCTGATTTGAGATGTTTTGCCAATCGCATTCATGAGTATTTACCATGTGGGAGGAAACTGGAAAACCCATGCATGCAAGGTTTGACACTCAGCACTACCAGCTCCTTACCACGTCCATAGTTCCAGGACTACAGCACCTAACTCTGCCCAGCTTTTAATGTGTGGTGAAAATGAGTGTATTTGAGTTTTTCCTTTCATGATTTTTCTTGTTCCCAGCATATACTCAACCGTATGCCAATATTTGGCTTTCAAGCACTTTTTTTTCAAGATATGGGGATTAAGATTTGATGGACAGCCCGTTTATGCTATAATGCGTGCTTTCATAATGCGAATTGGATAAAATAATGAACGTATTAGGGAACATTTTTTATAACGCGGATGCAAATTGGACATAATGCGATTGAGTGAACGGAACTACGTCACGCGAGTAGGAATAAGCGGTTGTTTGTATGGCTGCCTTGGCATAGCATCACACAAGGTGGGATGCTGCTGGATGCTTCTCGATGCTGCCCACGCGCCTCAAGTCTTTGTTCAGCCTGCATACTCATCTCGCGTGTTATCGTGGACTGCTTTACCCTATATTATTTGTCGTCTTGCTTTTTGCATACAACCTTGTTGATTTTCATTACAATGAGTGGCTTAGTGACTAACACTGTAACATACATTTTTCACTCATTTAATGTTTTATTTAATTAACGAATTATATTATTAAACTAAAACAGTAATTATAAAATAACATTTCGATTTAAAGCGGATGTGTATGCTTTAACTTTAACATATCCATTTCTGTGACCAATCACAAGCTAATCACTCGGCCATTTCAATGCTAAATTCTATGCTAATTCCTTTGTCAAGGCGCTTTGTTTCCTCTCACGCAGCTTAAAGGTCGCGATCTGAGCGTGGCTTTTTCGCTCCAGCGCTGTCCTCCAGACAGTCTCGTCCCTTCACCTGATGAAGGCCGCTTGTGTTGTGGCCGAAACGTTGTGAGAATTTGATTGTGTTTTTTTTATCAATTTATTATTTTATTCTCATTCTACGTGACTTTACCGAAAGAACCAAAGAATATAAAATAACACACAAATCAACAATATAGCATGAAAAATGTCAGTCATCATTGGTGTTTTCGAAATCTACTAACCCCTAACCCCTTAATTCTTCCCATTTAATTAATGGTTATTATAACGCGATTTTTTCCAGGACAGACGATTTGGATTAATCACCGCAAGACGCAAGATACAAATGGTAGTACTGTATACTTGCGTTCGAAAATAAAAAGTTCAACACGTTTGCACGTAATCTTGGGGTGGGCTCAATACAAATTTTAGCTTTTCATATTATCTAGTAAAAAGCGTAGACCGCTATTGGTGGGGTTTATTCTTTAAAATTCGCTTTTTAACCACCTCTCGAGCATCATTCGAATTTGCATGTACGTCTTTCACAACCAGCTGTATCACGTGTGCCTTTATGCGTTTCATACATTACATGTGTACGGTGGATACGTTTAAGATGTAATTTTTCGGATATGGGATTTTTTGTAGATGTAATTTTGATTGTATTTTGGATTTTAAAATTTCAATGAATGACATTTTGACAACGTTCAAGTTAACTATTGCATTTGTTTCATGTTTAACATTTTTGCAATACAAGTATAATTTTTACGTAAATATTTCTTCTTTTAGTAATTTAAGCCAAAGTGACACCATGTGACATCATTTGTACTTAATTTTTTTCGATGTTTTGTGTTTTCATTGATTCAAATGATCACATTTTACGCATAAGCATTTAAAAGGTATGAAAAGCAAATACATTTCAAATGCCAAGAATACTCAGTAATATCTAAAATTGGGCCTCAAATTCCAATATCTGCAAAAATGTCATTTTAAACTAATGCCTTATGTATATGCACATGTACATTATTGATTAATAATCAATGTAAATTGATTAGCACGGTTGGCTACGTACGGTGCGATAGAAATTCAACATGTTAATTTAAACCACAAATATAGTGACACTGAGCTCCACAAACATCAATTATTACTGCATATGGAGTAAAGAAGACCATGTACTCTGACAAACAATACATCTGTCGATACACAGCAATGTTTTCAGTGGGGTGTATATCTGCGTTTCATTGCGGTGTGGAAAAGGATTATCCTTATAGATTTTTCAGACACAAACTCTGTCAAACACTGGATTATCAGTAGAAGATCTCTTATCCTCGTGGCCTGTGACATGCTGTGAATAATCCTCATTAAAGAGTCGCTTGAGCAAGGCCCGGAGAGAGCCGCTAAACACGCTATACCCTCACCCTAACGGGAAAGGAGAGAAGTGTTCACCATGTAATATATAAAGCCAATAAGAGTAGCAGTTGCTATAGAGACAACTGTATGCCTGAATACGGCTCTCGCAACCTCAGGACAGAACGGACATGAGTTAGGCCGTCAAAAAAAATCTACACCTTCCAAAAGTTGAATTGCAAGAATGCACTGTTACTTATGGAGAATCGGGAAATGTATGCCGAAGGACCCTGGGTCTGCAACCCGGAGGGAAACATTACTGACAGACGCGGCTGGTGTGCTTCTGTGGCATGTCCCCCTGCATCACCAAGCAGTGGGCAGAGAGGAGTGCAGCCATCCACGCTCACTACTCAGGCAGAGGCACTGACACTGGGTGTACATTTCAAACTCGCTTGTCATGGGTATCTC